TCCGGGGCGCCCGCGGTCCCCGCCCACGCGAGGGAGGGTGGAGGGCGCGCGCCGGTGCAACGAGGTCTGGGCGCCGCTCGCAGCCCGCTGCTCCGCCACCGAGCAGGAAATCTGTCCCGCCAGGTCCAGCAGCCTCCTCCGCTGGGCTCCGGCTCCCGCTCAGGCTCGGGCTCCGCGGCGGGGGCGGGGCCCGTGCGCTGCGAGCTGCGACTGCGACGCCTGGTGCCGGGCCCCGGGAGCGCACCCCGGCCCTGCCCTCCCCAGGGCGCCAGCCCCGCCCGGCCCGCGCAGTCTCCACCCCGAGGACACCAGGCTGGTGTCCTGATTCTGGGGCGCCCCTGTCCCCTCTCTGGACCCAGAGTGTCAAAGAGGGTGTCAAGGGGTGACGGCATTTAGACTAGCCCGAAAGAAGATTCAGGGCCCTTCCTGTCCAGCCTTGGCCCTGGACACCAGGACATGGTCTGGCTGGGGACACAGTTTAGGTCCTGCGGCTCCCCACACCGGCCCTGCTTGGGAGAAGTCGGTAGACCTGCGGGCTGTCCGGGAACAGACACGCCCTCCCAGAAAAGGGTGCGTGGCGCCCCATGGTGGGTGCTGGAGCGTGTACAGGCAGCAAGGAAAGTTCCCCGCAGAGCTGAAGACGCACAGAGGCGCTCAGGGCAGGGACTGGGCTTCCTGTTTTTTCATTTCTCCTGACTCCGCTCGTTAATTTTACCTGCCAGTTTGACACAGCCGGAATCACCTGGGAGGGGAGCCTCGTGGAGGAATTGTCTAGATCAGGTTGGCCTGTGGGCACGTCTGTGCTGGATTGTCTTGATTGCTCATTGATACTGGAAGACCCAGCCTACCATGGGCGGCACCATTCCTTGGCCAGGGGCTTCTAAGAGAAACCGGGATGACCTCAAGCAAGCTGGACCCAGTCTGCGCTCTCTCGTCTCAACCGTAGACCTGAAGCTTTAAGCTCCTGCCTTGACTTACCCAGAGTAATGGACTGCAGCCAGGAAACCCTTTCTTCCCCAGTTGCTTATGGTCAGGGTATTCTATCACAGCAACAGAAACGAACAGAGAGCAAAGACATTCCTTCTGAAGGGCAGAAAGGGCGACAGAACCGTGGTACCCGGCTTGGTTCTGGACCTTTTGGGTGGGGTTGGGCCAAGGCACAGCCTCATGAAGATACTACATTCTGTGGTAGGGACCTTGCTCATTAAGCTCATGAATGAATGATTGGAGAGAAAGAGGCAGTTAGGGGTGTCCCCTCACCTTTCTCAATCCTCAGCAGTCATACTGACAGAGCTGCAGACTGGAAGCTTAAAGACCCATTGTCTTGCTGAGAATGCACTTCCCTTCCCATGGTGCAAAATGTGTAAAGCTATTGGAGAAGCGAGCTTGGCCTCACTTCCGGCCCTGCACAGACCTGCCGCCACACCCCTCGGACCGAGCACAGCCTTCCTCCTGGCCCCTATGCCCCTGCTGCTGGGGGCCTATCCAGCCCGGCAAACACCAGCCATGAGCATAGCTAAGGTGGGTTCCCAGACCTCTTCTGCAAGCTCAGTTCCCCCCAGCTTCTCCTGTCACCGTGGATCCAGTCCTTGCTCTTAATTTCTTGACCTTCACCTCTGTCTCTAATTCATCTCCAAGTCTATTTCCTGTCTAGTTTCTCTACATCTGATCTCAGACCCCTGCTTAAATAAAATCTCCATCCAGGAGGCTGGCGAGTGGGTCAGCGGTTAAGAGCTCTGGCTGCTCTTGCCCAGGGCGGTGATTCCATTCCCAGCACTCACATGGCTACTAGCAACCAACTTTAACTCCAGTTCCAGGGGACCCGCCGCCCTCTTCTGCCCTCTGAAGGCATTACATGACATGGGTGCACTTAACAAACATGCAATACATTCATACACATAATATAAAAATAATACATATTTTTTTAAAACCCTCCATCCAGAATAAAGCCCAAACTGCATCAAGGCTGTGCCCAACTTGCCTGGTGGCCCCTGAGCTCCTGGTCACCTGTTCCAACCTTGGTTCCTTTTCTCAGTGTCTGAGACAAGCCCCTTTCTACCTGGACACTTCCCCCTTTGATACCTTCTTACCCATTGCCTTCCCAATGGCCTCCTGTCCATCTCCTCTTCCATGATCCTCATCATTGACTGTGGGTATTTGGGGGTTTATTTGCTCTCTGGGTATCTGTCTTTACCCTCTTCCTTTGCCCCAGGGCTGGAAGCTCCACCAGCCCAGGCTAGCCTCTCTCCATCTTCTCTGATCCTGCAGCATCAGGCACACCCAATAGTCAGATGTCAGTGAGCAAGTGGGCTGGCAGAGCAGAGGAGGACAGTAATATCAAGCAACGCTGTCACCTCCCCAGACTCAAGTGGGACTGGTGGCTCCCTCCTGAATGTGTCCTCAAAGAACATTCCAAGTTAGCTGTGGCCAAGTGGCCCAGTAACCTCTGGATTTTCCTGCCGTTTGGGCTGCAGAGCCCAGCTGATTTACAAGGAGGTGACAATTTCAAAGCCCTGATAAGCACAGTTGAGCTTGTTAACACTGCCGGGGTAGAGCTGGGGAAGCAGAGACCCACCGAAGAGGGAATGTGTTGCCTTTGTCAGACATCTGCTGTTGGAAAGTAACAGCCTTGAGAAGATGAGGAGGAGGCAGACGGCTGTCTTTCCCAGTAATCTCTGCCCTGTTGGACCCCAAAGCTTTTTCTAGGAACTAAGTGGTATTCCTGAACAGCTTCTGGAGCCCAAGACACCCTGTCATACAGACACTACCCTTTTTTGGTGTCTTTGCTTCTTGCTTGGGCTCCTGGCTCCTATCAACAGCGAATTCCCCTCCCCGCTTTCTAGACTTCCAGGACCTTGCTGCCTCATAGCATCCTGAACGCCCCATCACCTTTGTCTTTTAAGACCTGGACCATAGCCCCTCTAGGGCCACAGGTTCTTCTGCCTATCGGAGCCCATCTGAGGCCTGTGTACTGTCCTCTGCTCTTGAGTTCTCTTATGCACCTGGCTGTGTTCCTTTCCTCAGGATGCCATTCCATCCCAATCCAGGCAGTTTCCGGGACTGTACCAACACTAGACCATGTGCTCTCTCTTCCATTATACTCAAGGAGTGACTACTGGATATCTCTGCAATAACTTTTTTTTTTGACACAGGATCTCATGTAGCCAGGATCGGCCTCAAACTCAATATACAGCCAAGGATGGCCTTGAATGCCTGATCCTCCGTTGTGGCTCACCAGGACTATGACATTTGGGGGCTGGAGAGGTAGCTCGGCTGGTAAAGTGCCTGTCTTACAAGACTGGGAACCTAAGTTCAATCCCTAGCACCCAGGTAAGCAATCCCAGCCCTGGGGTGGTAGATACTGGTAGAGCCGTCAGTGGCCAAGTAGTCTAGCCAAATAAGTAAGCCCAGGTCCCAGTGAGAGACCCTGTGTCCAAACCATGGTGGGGTGCTGGAGAGCTGGCTCAGTGCTTAAGAGCATTGGCTGCTCTTCCAGAGGAGCTGAGTTCTGTTTTCAGCACCAACGTGGTGGCTAACAACCGTCTGTAACTCCAGTTCCAGGGGATCTGATGCCTTCTTCTAGCCTCCATGGGCATTTCACTGCATGGGTGCACTTACATACATGCAGGCAAACATTTATACACATTAAAAAAAATCCAAAAAATTTAAAAACAAGGTGGATGGCTCCTGAGGAGCTACACCAGTGGTTGACCACAGCCTACATGCACATACATACAACACACACACACACACACACATACACCTCCCCATGCAAACATACATGCACATATAGCTACACATATACAAACAACCCCCATGCACACACACCTACATGCACACAACACACACAACAGCACATATGCACACAGACATAGCTACCTCGTCATGTACACACATATGCACACATAGCTACACACACAACCCCCATGCACACACACCTACCCACACATAACACACACAGCAGCATATACACACACAGACATAGCTACACACACATGTACCTCGCCGTGCACACACATATGCACACATAACTATACACGCAACCCCTGTGCACACACACCTACACATATACAACACACACAGCAGCATACACACACAGACATAGCTACACATGCATGCACCTCCCCATGCACACACATATGCACACACACAAGCAACCCCCATGCACACACATCTACACACACAACTGTTCACTTATGCACACACATGCATGTATACACACATAGTTGTGCACATACACACATAGCCATACACAAGCAACCCCCATGCACACACACCTACATACACAACACATACAGCAGCATATACACACAGACATAGCTACACACATATGCACCTCCCCATGCACACACATGTACACATAGCTACACACACACAAGCAACCTCAATGCACACACACACACAACTGCTCACTTATGCACACACATGAATATATACACATAAAGGTATACACACAAGAAACCCCATGCACACACACACCCCACACACATACACACTGGAATTTTCATCCCATAGAAAGTCTCCTCCCTTTCCTTTCCAGAAAACGATCCAACCCGGCCAAGGACTACCATTGTTCTGACGTCTGTTACCATAGATAGTTCTGACTGCTCTAGCTCTTTACAGAATGTGATTATATAGTGCATTATATATAGGCAGATGGCTCTGTATACGCTCTGTTATTTCTAGTTTCTTTTACACAGCAAAATCTTTTTGAGATTCGTTCTTTATTGCTATCTATGGTTAGGTAATGCATGGTTTCCTCTAGTTTTAATTCTTTTTCTCCTTATCACTGTTTTTAGAAATTTGATTTCAATGTGTCTCATGGCTTTCTTTCGGTCTTCTTGGTTTAAGATATTATTTTAAAAAATATTTTATTTATCATTTTTATTTTATGTGTATGAGCATATTGCCTGCATGTGTGTTAGTACACCTGTATTGTGCAATGCCTGCAGAGGTCTGAAACGAGCATCAGATTCCCCTGGACTGGAGTTACAGACTGTTGTTAGCCACCATGTGGGTGCTGGAATCAAACCCAGGTCCTCTGCAAGAGCAGCCATTGCTCTTAACCGCTGAGCCATCTCACCAGCCCCTAAGATATTATTTTTAATTGTGTATATATGTGTGTGTCTGTGCCCATCAAGTCCAGACATATAGGATTTCCTGGAACTGGAGTTGCTGTTGTGAGCAAGCAGACATGGGTGCTGGGAACCAAACTCTAATCCTGTGAGAGATCAGCAAGTGCTCCTTCCTGCTGACCCATCTCTCCAGCCCCTATCTCCTTGGTTTAAAGTTTATCCAAGTTGCAGATTTTCAGCTATTATTCCTTCAAAAATGTTTCTTTCTCCTCCCACTTCTGGGACTGCAATAATATGCACACGATGTCTCCTAATACTGTCCATCAGATCACCCAGGCTTTTACATTTTAAATTTGTGAGCTGTTTTCCTCAACGAGTTTGTTCAGTTCCCATTGCAAAGCTTGTCACTTACCAACCCCCCCCCCCCATGGTGGTTCATCTCCTGTTAAATTCATTCTGTGATTGTTTCATCTCAGATGTTGGAATTTTAGGTCACAGAACTTCACTTGATTCTGCAAGTGCACCCATGCTGTGCAGTGCCCAAGGAAGTCAGAAGAGGGCATCAGATTCCTTGGAACTAGAGTTATGACAGTTCTTAGCCACCATGTGGATGCTGGGGTTTGAACCCAGGTCTTCTGCAAGAACAGCCAGTGCTCTTAACTACTGAGTCCTCTCTCCCCTATAATGCATTTTGAGTCTTTGCTTACTACCTTTAATGTTTATGTTATCTTTGAGTGTGTTTCTGTTCTATTCGGGGGAGGGAGGCCTTGCTATTTTCCTTCTCTATTTTTATTCTAGTCTACTGTTCATAATTTCTCCTTGTTAGCTGAAGGCGAAGTTCTTGAGAGTCTAGAAGAGCTTTAACTCCTCAGAATGTATCTACAGACACCCATCCCCCAGGCCAAGGTGCTAGGCTTAAGGCTATTCCTTCTTCGTTCTGCCCTGAATGCCTAAGGCATCTCCCAAGGCTTTTCTACCCTGGTTGAGTGGAACTTTGAAGACTTCCAGCACAGTTCCACCGCTGGGATCTCTGTGATGCTCACAGCCCTCAAGAGCTATTTTCCCACTGGCCTTGGAGTCTCATCCTGTTAATGCACAGCTCAGCGTTAGACTGAAGATGTCAGAGGATTCAGGATGGTGTCCAGAGCCACATTTGTGCATAATTGGAATTGTGCCCCGTACTTTCCACCTGGTAGAGGCCATAAAGCTTGATTTCTGTTCTTAGCCAGAAACTAAAGGACTCTTGTTCCTGCTTCCCTTCAAGCTGCAGTTAGAGGCATTCTCAAGGCAGAGATTAGAATGTGGTGACTTGACTTCATTTGTTCATGTGTGTGTGTGTGTGTGTGTGTGTGTGTGTGTGTGTGTGTTTAGCAGGAGAAGTTTGCTATCCCTTTATCCCTTTGTCCTGGCTATAGTGGATATTAACCATGATTTTAAATACTGTCTCATTTTTTAGTAATTATTTGTATGTATCCCTTTCCCAGGGAAGTGAAGCCACTAAGTCTATGTTCTACCCTTAAGGGGAAGACAATCAGCTCATCCCACAGGTAAGTTTTGTGAGAGGACTTCGGACTGCTGATGTGCATTTACAATTTCCCTGTGTAATTGAGGAACATGATAAAAAGAGAAATGCAAACTATGTTGTGAACCTGTTTATCATCTCAAGAAATGAGGGGGTGAGTTTCTCTGAGGATCAGAAATGACCATTGGTAGACTGTTAACCAGTGGACAGAGCAGGCTTGAGTTACGGAAATCTAAGAGTGTTCAGAACCACTTCCACCAGGGTATCAAAGACGTGAAGACCTACCCTCCCGAGTCATCATTTAAATAGTGTGCAAATAGGCTGTTGTTTGGAAGAGGGATTTGAAGGACACATCTCCCCAATAAGGTCTGAGAATAACCTAGAAGAAGGTTAAGCCTTTCCCCTCTCGCACCTTAGGACCTTGACTAAGGCTTGGGGTCTCATTTGGGAGTAGTGGTAAGGAATAAATCCACCATCAATAAGTGAATTATTCTTAATTAATTAATTTTTATTTTGTGTATGAGTGTTTGGCCTGCAGGTAAGTGCACCTTACATATGCTTGCAGAGGCCAGTTGAGGGTGTCAGATCCTCTGAAGCTGGAGTTACAGATGGTTGTTAGCCACCCTGTGGGTTCTGGGAACCAAACCCAGGTCCTCTGCAAGAGCAGCCAGTGCTCTTAACCGCTGAGCCATCTCTCCAGCCCTGGTAAGGCGACTCTTGCGGCTTTACACTATCCCTTCGGGGGTACGGGTCTACACTCTTGTTATCTAGGCACTCAGTTATGTCCTAACACTGTGGTTGACCCGGCTTCCATGGCAAGACAAAGGTTATAAATTAATCATGTGATTGAGGAAGTCCTGGGAAGACCATGCCTGTCCCTCATTCATGCTGGGTGGCTGCAACCATAGCAACTGTTTATTCCAGACCAAAGTTCAGCTTCTGCAGATCTTTATGACTGTGTTCACAGTTCAACGTTCAATAGCAAAACCCTTCCTATGAAGGGCTTATATTCACAAAGGACTAGACTTCCTTTCTAAACACCAGACTCCAAATGATCAGGCCTGAAAACATTCTGAGATCCTTGTTGTTTTGCCCCAGGGAGCTCGTTTTCCTGAGAAAATGCCGACCACTCAGAAAACATTGATGTTCCTCTCCGGCTTTGTCACAAGCCTGGGTTCCGTGGCTGTCATCTGCTCAATTCTGGGGACACAAGCATGGGTCACCAGCACAATTGTCTTCACAGACATGATCTCCAATGGCACCATTGCCATCTCCTATGGGCTTTTTGGTGGTGTGAGTACCCAAGATTTGAGAGAAGGACTCCAAGAACTGGACAAAAACTTTGAAGGTAAATAATAATCTCATTTGAATGAGGGATAGGAAACATAAATACGATTCATGTTATTTCATATTTGGGGCAAATAACCAGTCGAAACTAATTTTCTCAAAGCACCGAATTGGCCTGTCATTGACGTAACTCACAATTTTGAAGAGGCATTCACCATTATTTCAGTTTCCTGGGCTCTGGTTATCTGTTATCATGAGAGTCTAAATCGCTCTAGTAGCATCTGGGTTTGAACGGTACCTATTTTATTGATGAGTAAATAATTGAGAGTATCTGGCAGCTTCATGGTATTTGGAGCTGGCAGGAGAAGCATTTTTAAGTGCATTGATCATGATTTTGACTTAGGGCAACAACCTCGGTCCAGAACTTTGTGAGCAATAATGTAGGGAAAGGGCGAGACAGAGAACGGAATCCACATCAAGTTTCTAGTCCTCAGCTTTCCCCAACCTAGGTTGAATCTGCACTCTTATATCCAGAACATCTCGTTGATGGGAATGAGATTTAATTCCTATTAATTCTATGAATCGTATCTTTCAGAAATTCCCATTTTTCCCAATTCTTGTACAATAATGTTTTGCTCTTAATGTGTGTAAAATAAGAAATTGATGAGATGGATAAGCTGGTGTAGTTACTTGAATTTTGGAGTTTGATATCTAGAGTTGTGACTTTTGAAAAAAAAAAACAAATGAACACATCTTTGGCTAGACGTTGTGGCGCACACCTTTAATCCCAGCACTCAGAGGCAGAGGCAGGTAGATCTCTGTGAGTTCTAGGCCAGCCAGAGCTACATAGTGAGACCCTGTCTCAAAAAAAAAATGATATAGCATGTAAGTGGGCTTTGTTTTGAACAGTGAGATGTGCAGGTATGTACAGGCATTCCCAGGTAGTACAGAATCATTGTCTTTTAGCTTATAAATGTGCACCATCTTCTACCTTACACAAATGTAAGATTCAATCCCCATGTTGTAATCTAGGATTGAGCTCTAGGTTATGATTCCATTAATGGAATGGTTTCCTTAAATCCAGGACAGCATGGTTATGTTTGCAAGCTGTGAATATGTCTTTTGGCTGGTAGTAAAAGCCATGTGTTCCCTGGGTTTCAGCTGCCACCTCACCTCCCCTGTTTGGGACACAGCCTCTCAGGAGAGTAGGAACACCTACAACCAGGAGCTAAGATTTCAAAGACTTACCTAACTCTCAGGGATATTGTTTTCCAAACAAAAAGTGTGCTTGTGTGTAGATCCCTGGGCACAATTAAACATTTTAAATTTGAGACAGAAACCTCTTTGGTTTTCAAAGTTGAACTGGGAGCAGTTGATTCCACCTGGGGATCGAAGGCCTTAGTGGACGCTCTGACTCACTCTCTAGTCAGAGAGGCCCAGAGAAGGGTAGGTCAGGTCTGGCTTAAAAGTTCTGTGTGACAGCGTTGAGCATGCTGGTGTCTCGAGAGCAGGGATAGCAGTAGTACATTGCTTGGGGTCAGTGCCAGCTGGGCACTTTAAGCCTGGGAACAGCAGATGTGGAATCTTTGCACTGCCTTTGCCTGGCTCTATGTTTTCACTCTGTTACTAGAAAGCCACACTATTCACCCCATACCTCACTGCACAACCTCCAAATGTCACAGAAGGTGAACCAGGTGATGAAGGGCACTGCACAGTTGTGCTGGTTGGCACCTAACAGCCTCTTAGAACTGCTTTTGTGCCATGACAGTGGTAAGGTAGTAATGATTGAACCTGGAATACATGCGAACAGTTCTCTTAGACAGGAAGTCACGGCCCCAGAACCCTTCTGCTGCATTCAGGTGCTAAGACTCCTCGAAGGGTTCCCCTGTCTGCAGAATACAGTATTTACAGTGAGGAACGGGGCTGTCCTGCCAGCAAGCCATGTCCACAGTCCAAATAGGAAGCCCGTTGTTAAGAGCAAATGGCGTCTGCATAAACCGTGTTCCCCTGCCCAATACAGGTGAGTTGACGGCTCCCCTTGGGTAGTCAAGCATATTTGATTCAGTGCTAGGGTCAGGACATACTGAAATCCTCGGGCCATAGTGCATATCACCAGGCCCTCCTGTATTCTGCATGGGGTCTAACATATTGTGTCTGTTCAGGCTGTAGATTTTTTATTTTTTTATTTTTTGGTCTTTTTGAGACAGGGTCTCCCTGTAGCCCCAGCTGTCCTGGAACTCACTATGTAGATCAGGCTGGCCTTGAACTCACAGAGCCTGCCTCTGCCTCCCAAGTGCTGGAGTTAAAGGCGTGCACCACCACACCCGGTCAGGCTGTAGATTTTTAAATAAAGAGCAGAATGTATGACAATATCTGCTTGCAAAGTGTCAAGATAATACAGCTAACAGCAGGTCAGTGAGTGAAGAGGTGCCTAGGTAGTCCCAGTTGGGAAATTCCTGCTGTGAAATTGGACTGATGGTGAGCTCATGGGTCCTGGCTTGTCCAACACCCAGATAAGTGACAGGTCTACTCTGTCTAGTCCTAAGCAGACGATCTTTGCTATTTCTTTCTTTTTTTCATTTATTATTTTTATTTTTATGTGTATGAGTGTATTTCCTGCATGTGTAAGTGCACCCACCCGTGTCGTGCAATGCCACGGAGGTCAGAAGAGGGCTTCAGATTCCCCTGGAACTGGAGCTAAGGACAGTTCAAAGCTGTTATGTGGGTGCTAGGAATCAAACCCAGGTCCTCTACAAGAGCAGTCAGTGCTCTTAACTTCTGAGCCATCTCTCTAGGCCCTACCAA